CTCCTTCTGTAAGAGCTCTTCACAGCGGAGCCCATGGTCCAGTTTTTTTTGGCGACAAACTTCTGGCTAGTCGACGCTAGGGTCTCAGCTGGGGATAATGCGAAACTTACCCTCCCATCTCTGCCATAGGAGGTTGGTCGGGTGATCGCGGAGATGAAGACTAGCTTGACGTTCCGTCCGAATGGGCTCCCGTCTCCTTTTTCCAAAAGTTTTAGGGGCAACTTCAGCCAGTGATTATGCCAACATTCCAAGAATTCAACATTGGGACATTGGACATGTCATGTATAAAGTATGGTGTGATTACCCTGATCCCTAGACTAGTTGGGGTGACGGATATCCGACACTTTAGGCCGACCACGATGATCAATGTTCTAGAACAGATCTTCTTTAAGGTGTGTGTGATGTGATTCGCCCCGGTGGTGGAGCGCCTCTCTCATGCCTGTCAGTTCACCTTTCTAAGGGGCGTCGGATTCATGATGGGATTCTGAATCTTCATGAAACAGTACCTAAGGTCAAGGTGTAGCGTGAGAAAGGTGTTTTCATGAGGCTAGATTTTGGAAAGGCCTATGACCGTCTTGACTGTTCCTTCCTCCGCCTAGTGCTTGAGTGAAGGGGGTTCGATGACCGTTGGTATTGTTGGATCATGCAAAATAGCCAGGAATGGCAACATTGTGATTAATATTAATGAGGAAGTGGCCCCTGTTTCAGGTCTTCTAGAGGGGTGTGGCAAGGGATCCTATTTCCTACCTACTCTTTAACCTTGCGGTGGACGCCCTGGCAGCCATCCTGGATAAGGCGAGGATGCTTGGTCATATCTCATGTGTGGTTGGGCATATTGTTCCAAGAGGTGTTTTTTCTTCGAATGAGGTGATGTTACTCACCTCCGGGATGTGAATGACATCATGATCATGGTAGAGGGGTCAGAACTAGTTATCATCAACCACAAGTTTCTTCTCCTATGCTTTGAGGCCATGTCCGGCCTTAAGATCAATTTCGATAAGAGTGAGGTTGTGATTTTGGGGTATCCAGTTGAGGATCAACAACGGATTGCGAACAACCTTAATCGTAGATTGTCCGCCTTTCTCATTGAGTAATTGGGGACGCTATTATCTGACTCGAGGATCCTTGTTCGAGTTTTGACCCGGCTGCAAGACGGGTCACATCTCGGTCGGAGCCGTGGTGCATGCGATTTACCCCAAAGGGAGTAAACCAATGCTTATCGACTTCCAATCTCTCGAGCCTCCCATGTATATGATGGGGTTGTAAATTTTGTCAGAAGGTGTGCGTAGCTCCTTTGAAAAGGACCTATCACGATTCTTATCGTAGGCGGCAGGTAGGCGGAAAAAATACCACCATGTGGTCAAGTGGGTGGATATATGCTTGCCCGAGGACATGTGGATCTATGTATTCTTGCGTCTCGTCACATGAATGTGGCCCTTATGCTGAGATAGG